GCTGCGAACCCGAGCACCCGAAGGAACACGAGGCAGCTGCGCCGAAGAATGTTCCAACGAGAAGTCCGAGCATTAAGTGAAAGCTGAGGTTTGATCAATGGCTGCGGCGCGTGTCTGCACTAGCAAACACTTTCTCGGAGCCTGTGAAGAAAAGAGAGAATGAAGGTGTGTTGTGACATTGGGCTGCGGGGGTCTCGGCGGCTGGGTCACCTTTGAGCTGCTGCTGATTAAGGGCTGGTGTTCACAGGTGAGCGGCTCCAAGCAGGATTTAGTGACACAGGCGCAGAGGTGAAATCAGCCCACACTCCCAGCTGACGTGAACACAGCAAAGCGCCGCTGACCTCTTCCCCCAAAATGGCCAGAGGCAACTGTCAGAAGATAAGTGAGCGCCGTGACTGCTCAGCTCACTGACAGAAAAGTAACGAGAACTGAACTTTCTGCAAACTTTCAAGGCTTGTTTGATGCTAATTGCTTGAAATACAGTTTGAAATAAGATATATTTGGGCTCTTTTCTAGTCTGAGCAGAGTCCCAGGGTGCAGGATCACAGGTTCACATCGTACGTAGTGAAATAAGTCGGTCACTTGCTGCCTGTAGGTCTACAGCCACCCGCAGTTGGTAATCTCCTTCGGAACTGAGGGGGCTCAAGGAGGCTAAGCCTGGTCAACACCTAGGAAGGGACATCCACAGCATATCTTGTGCTCTCAAGCAGCCTGGTTGGTGAAACATGTGTGAGGCTTCCCTTCTGGATGAATCTCAATGAGATTTTCAAGCCACAGTCGGCTGCACTGGGACATGTTCTGGATAAAAGGTGTAATGGTGTGTAAAAAGAAAAATATAGCTGACACTGTGAGCATTTCAGTGTGCAACTGACCTCTCAAATGGATGATAGTGAACAATAGTCAAAGAATGGTTATTTAAAAATAGCACTGATGTGCTAAAAATATTCAAAAATGAAAATAAAAGCTTTTCAAGCCCTAAATTGAATTAAATCACTTTGATTAGCCTGCAAACATGGTGTTTTACAATTTTTCTGTTTTGTTTTTTAATCACTGAATATATCAAACTAACTGCATGATTGCCGGGTTAAATTGTAATATTGGTAATAATCCTGTATTAAATATTAAAATGAATGATGTCACTATACGCCATGTGCATAAGACCAAACTTCTGGGAGTGACAGCTGACAATAAGTTATCATGGAAAAAGCACATTAATAATATGACTGCAAAGATGAGTAGAGACAGATCAGTTATAAGAAGACACAACCTTTGTGACTCCAAACATCTTGTAAACAATACTGAAGTGTGACGACAGGACAAATATCATCTCAGTGCACAAGAAGCTCAGATGGTTATTGGCCAAAGACAGACTGTTATACTCACTGATAACTGCTATTAGAAACATATCTGTTTTAAAATCACCTCTTATTTTGTTTGAAAACATCTACTTTAGTGCAGAAAATCATAAATACATCACCAGGCATGCAGCTGTAGCAAACTTTATAATACCTAACGCAAGATCAAATGCCATCAAACACACTGTTCTGTATAGAGGTACTAAAGAAAACTAAAAAACATTAAAGTCACCAATAACACTGTTATATGTACATTTATATGCATGTGTATAGACATATATGTGTATGTGAGTATACATATGTGTATGTGTGTGTGTGTGTGTGTGTGTGCATTTATATGCATGTATATATACACACACACACACACATATATATATATATACCATATTGTAGTTTGGTATAGGCAGATAAGTACAGCGCCCTCCATAGTTATTGGCTAAGATATGGTTGGATGTGTTAAAAGCCTTAAAATAAAATGTTTATTCCAGAAACATACTGTCACACTGAAAATTGTAGAAAAATGTAACCTTCAACTCAACTCAAATGAATTGTTGGCAAAAGGGGGTTGCACAAAGTATTAACATCAAGGGTACTCATAACTGTGGCACACATGATTTGATGTAAAAGAATTGTTTTTTAATGTGGGATTTTTTTCACACTGAATAAATGCACTTGAATTAAAGGTTGAATTTTCCTCTTTTTTTTCATTGGGGTCCTAAATTATTTAGAAAAACAGAATTTATTAGAAGCTAAAGAACACATCTTAACCAGGGGTGTCAATGATTATGGAGGGTGCTGTATATATGATATGTATGTGTAGTATATGTGGTTGAAATATAATAATGAAATGATAATGTATATATCAAAATGTAAGTTAGTGTAAAGCTCACTTGGCTTTTGTTTTGCTTTGTTTTTACAATAGTTTCTGTTTTCTTGTGTGTATAATTCTGTTGGACCCCAGGAAGAATAGCTGTGGCTTTGCTGCAGCAAACGAGGATCAAACTAAACTAAACTAAACTGCTTTGACTTCAGAAAGTGCTTTGTTGGCAGAGGAACACTGACCCATTTGTGTGTCAAAGGTAAAATCATAAAACCTGATGAAAATATTACATTTATAAGTAACAACTTAAACATATGCATTAAGGCTTTCTTCCAACTCTGGTCTCGATGACAGTCAGCATTTGTCAGGGCAACATAAACTGTTGCTTGTTGACAATGAGAATAGATTCATTTATGGACTCTGTGCAATCATATGAGTCAAATGCTCAACATTTTACATTCCAAATTACATTTTACAACAATTCCAAAGCATTTTGTCATATGGAAAACTATAATCACAAAAGCTCCATCATATGACGTGAGCATGAGCCGTTTCTTTTTATCACAAAAGTTCTTTTTTCCGTCGCTGCAGAGGAAAAGTTGATCTTTGTGTTATCTGTTCAAAACACGTTGCTTCATAACTCCGTCGTTTGTTTTGTTTGTTTTGATGCAGCTGTTTTTTAAGCGTATCTGCAGCTCGCATCTTGTGGTCTAAAGTTCTGCTGGTGTGCATCATCCTGAGGTAACTCTGTCATCTCATTCATCTCAATAACCTCACAGAAGCATCTTGTGGTGTAATGCTATTATTTAGTCGCTGCTAATTCACCTAAAGTCAGACGGAGACGATAATGTCTCTGCTGTAATGTCCTCCCGCACATGTTATGCACAGATATAAAAGAAACACAATGAAGTGTGTGTGGAAAAGTGAATGAAACCGTACAAGTTCACGATATGAAATATGAACAGTGTTGCAAATCAGACATAAAGTGAAAAACAACGGCTCCAACACACTTTTTTACAGCAGTGGCCCGTCGAGCTGTCAGCAAGTTGTAACATATAAGCTGTAATGGTGCAACTTTATTATTGTAATAATACTTTAAAGACATTATTTATGATGTATCTGTCTGCAGAGTGCCAGCGAGCTGCAACACTTGTGTTTTGCAGAAACTTCATCTGTACTCAATTTAAATTGAAGCTTCTGTAACCTTGTAATATCAAATCATGCACTGAGGCTCACAAAACAGAATGTTTCCTACATTTCCTTAATACTCCAGTACAGCATCAGGTCATCAGCATGATTAATCCCAGTCATTAGAACTTAAAAGTGAAATCCATGATATACGGATGCCACAAGAAAAGCGACAAGTCTGACCAGGAATGAGCTGCACATGACAAGGTTCCCATCAAACAGACCAAACACTGATGGCTTTAGTGATGGTGTGGAAATTAAACAAATGCAGCTTGTGATCCAGCATTGAGAGTAATGCAGCAGGTATGTGATGAGAAGGTCTGGAGTACGAAGTGGCTCTGAGTCACAAGGCCACACGCATAAATGTACAGATGCACACAACGTGCCGTATTCTTTCAAGAACAAAAAGGCTTTCCGAACACGACTGGGGAGCTCAATCAAACAATAATAATGATCAAATAAATTATCTGATTAAAAGGTGCTCTGGTGTAAACAACACATAGTAGAAGGAACATAAAAATAAAAGCAACATACAAACAATGTTATACGCATCCCTGAGCTTGTGATCTGTATCAACTGCTGCTTAATCTTCATAATTCAAGACAGGTTTTCTCAGGGTTTGTGCATGAAGAGGAAAACCAGGAAACCCAAAGATGCAGTCATGCAATAGAATGTGTTTGCATTTTCAGTATGTGACACATTTAGTCACTAATAGTGGCCTAACAGTCGAGTGTGTGTCTCTGTGTGTGTGTGTGTCTGAAAGCTTTTGAAAGAGTAGCCCAGTGGAGTTTCTAATAAAATCATTGTTTCACAACTCCACATGTACAATGGGAGTCATTCCAAAAACGATGCCGGCACACGGACTCCCTGTGGGGTCACAGGCTCACTGGATCTCTCTTTAAACTTCATGTTTCAAAAAAATCTAAAATGATCAGTTTCTGTATTAATTTTTCTCTATACTAAGCCTCATCATCTGAAATGGGGTTCTGATTAAAAAAATAAATAAAAACCCTCTATGTTATGCATGTATAGCAGGAAAAATGCAGATTTTTGTTTGATTTTTGACAGTTTTTCTGGCAACGTGATGATTCAGGTCAAAAAATTAAGCACATGGTCATTTAAGGAACACTGATTTAGAGAATTACTGTACTGTTATTTTTCCATTTGAGTTGTTTTTGGCAACTTCTGAGTCTTATTTGTTTTTTTGTTTTTTTTGTTTGTTTTTTTTTAGATCTGTTAATGTTTTACTGCAAATTCCTAAATGTGGATCTGAAATTCTCTGTTGACCAACATACACTTGCAAGTACCAAGATGTTGCGTTAGAACTGCAGCTCACCGTCTGGAAGCCTGCATTTAAATGCATATTGAGACCATTGAGCGGCTGTTATTCACAGTCAAATCACAAAGTTTCACATAATGAAGAAGAAGAAAAAAAAAACAGCGCGCAACGAGCTGTCTTTATTTAAAGTGGAGGAGGAGAGAAGGGGGGTTATCCAAGGTGTTTGAGACAGATGAGGGAGGTGGGGGTCGAGGAGGCAGGGAGGGAAGAGAGGGAGGGAGGAGGAGGCAGGGAGGGTAAATTGGGCGGACACATAAAAACTGCAAGGGGCCATAGATGCTGGATCATTTGGAAAGCCTTGGCCGTCCTGCGCACCGCCCGCACCGCCCTTACGCACTGTTCTGGAGACGGATAGGAAACGTCCCGCTGCAGAGCCCGAGAGCCGGCCTTCGCTCCTGCTTGTCCGCGTAGAGGTGTCGATAAAGGATTAATGAGCCACAAAGGCACCCAACTTCTCCTTTAAGGCTCATTTCGGCGTTTTTTCGGCGTTACGCCTGGACTGCCTTACACCTTCCCTTTCATATTCACTCCATTCGAGGATACCTGTACCTCTACTGATGGTAAGCGCCCATCAGCTGACACATTCACACTTTACAGCGGCGGAGCTTTGACAAACCGAAACATCTGAGTAATATCGGAACGAACTCTCGTTGACATTTTGTGACTTTCTGTTGGTGTTTGTGTGCGTTTAAGCGACTTTGCCGAGAGTTTGCGCAGCGTCCTCGGTAGAAATGTACAAGGATACATGAGCATTAAAATCTTACTGCAGCAGAAACGGAGACATACTGAAATAAAAGTGTGTTTTCTGACCAGCAGCGCTGTGATTCCGGTCAAGCGTGTAACAGGTTAAAAGCCTTTTGTGCCCGAGACTTGAGCAATGACAAACCAAGATAGTGAGGTCATTTCCAAACAGAGCGTCCGATTTCCCTGCCTTTCCTTTCCTTTGGTACAATTAAAATATTTATATCATACAGATAAGTCACTTTTTTTAGGAAGTTTGGGACCGATGTCGCTTTATTAAACACCTGTATCTGCTTGTGGTCACCCAGGTATGCGTAATGCGAACGATGGACATGAGAGAGTCGGAATTCCAGCCAGTAATGGAGAAAAAAAAAGTCCTAAACTAAATTTTAACTTCAGGTAATTTCAGCTTCAAATATAGTTTTTAATTTTAAAAATAATAATAATATTAGTTCGTGCGTAATCGCGCCAGTCCGCTGAGCACATTTCTGTCCACTTCCAACAATGTCTGCAAAAACGTTCAGTGCCAACAGTTTGCAGTGGCACAGATATGAATCCGGTTTATAATTGCAGAACGGTGTTGTAAGACAAGGACTCACATGTTTTCACTCGTTTGTAACAAGTGATTATAAAGTGAAATTGTGTCATTTAATCCAGTAAGTCTGCAGCAGAGAAAACATTTTGCGGCCTGCGGGCGCATGGCGTCCTTGGCACACGATTTACTTTGCAACTCGGATTTCTGTGCTGCAGCGCGTGGAAACAGGCTCGCCAAGCTTTTCAGCATGAAGGCATTTTATATTTAAAAATGTATATATTTATTTTTGCATTAAAAAACAGGTATTTGTAGAAGAAAAGTGGCACAATTTCGTTTCAGAAAATTGCTGGTCCAGGTGTTGATGCCACCTGATGGTTTCCGTTTTTATCTTTTTAAGCAAAAGAGGGAAAAAAAATCTCACGGAAATCAGAATTTATTTGTCATTACTAACACATTTTTTGTTGTGCTTTGATTTCACCACATTAGAAGAATCCAATCGACAGCATTAACCTCAGAGAAGCCCTTCAGCTCCTCACTTACTCAAGACTTGGTGTCTTTCAAATATACTACAGCTAACAAAACCATTAATCTCCTCTCAGTGATCTCACTGACTGCGAATGTTTTAATGTTGAGTTGCTCACTGGGAGAAAATAAAATCCTAAATCTGCACTATCCACCAATGAGAGGAACGACAGGCCTCTGCTGTTTTCCACACAAATTAGATCATTTATTTATTTTAATTCTGTTCACTGATTTACTTTGGTAAGCTGTCTTAATGTGTTAGTCATCAGGAAGGAGAAGGAATAAAATTCTATTGTTGAAAAAAATTTCACCTTTGCACATGGCAGGAAACTATTTGGAGAGGCAGAGTAATACATGTGCTGAACATAAAATGGTATTGGCATTAACCACAAAAAGAACACATAGCATCTGATTAATAAAACAAAATTCCCATGTTGGTACATTTATTAGAGGCCTCAGAAGTGATAAAAATCAGGCCATAGATTTGTTCCCGTGGTAACCTGTTGCCCTCCTCCCTCCTCCCTTCCATTCCCATCTTCCCTCCCACCATCACTGTCAAATTCCTCAGGAAACACATCTGAAGAACCATGTGCATAGTCTGATCACATTATCTCTGGTCAGAAAGAGACACAGAGAGAGAGAGAGAGAGAGAGGCCAAGGGGGATCGAGCAAAGCCAAGGGCAGTTGACTGCTACGGCCTAATTGCACCCTGGTCTGCATTTGTTGTTGCAAAAAGTGCTTCTGTCTGTTGCTGACTTGAGCGTCTTTAGACATTTTTATATATATCTTGGAGTGCTGCTTCACTGTTAGACTGAGAGGAGAATTTAAGGGTTCTGATAAATGTTGGGGAGATAGTTGAAATAATGAGCAGAATCTAGTGTCAATGTTTGATCACCACCAGTGAAAACAGGCCACAAGACATAAACACACTAACTTTTTTTTTTTTTTTTTTTTCCAGAGTTGAAAGTTACTCCCAGTCTGCCTTACATCTTCTTTCATCATCATCACACCACTTTGAGTGTCTGTCTGTTTTAGCCTGCAGCTTTGTCAGTGGCTGGTTACAGTTACAAGATGTTCTGTATGGTCAGTGTTTTTGAGTGCTATGAATCCCTGTAATCATGGGAGAGGCCCTCGCTGTACAATGAACGTTTGTTGTCAGAGATGTGCACACACAGACTCACACACAGTCACACACACAGTCACACACACG